CTGATTATGCGTTATAAGGTGGATCAAGGGGTGCACAAAAAGTGTTTTATATAATGAAAGCAGAAATATGAGAACAAGTTTTGTTAATCGGAGATCTGAGTTCTCCCGTAGTCCGCCGGCAATTTTTCCATTACCTTGATTTTCCAAAAATTACTCAAACACTTCTTCTACCCTTTGTTGCTCATTTTTAGCCGACCTTGGTGGCTGTTCAGTGCCTATTCGCTAAGAAAATCGGATTTACATGGGTATTTCGTGATTCGTAGGTTCGTTTAAATTTCCCGCGCAAAGGTGCGCGTTTAAACAAACATCGAACCTGTACTGGAGCGGAATTTTGAACCGTCATAGAGTATGGAATTACTGTAATTGAAGTAAATAAGGCTAAAATATATGAGCCGCATGCGTGAACATCGCCGCTAGGAAGGGAAGCGGACCTTAGGGGAGCAGTTGGCTTTTCACGTCTTGCGGTCAGAAATAAGCGATTGTGGATATTCGAACAAGCCGTGGGGCTGGTGTAACAACTCGTTAGTCCATGAATGTCAAATAAGATGTTTGAGGGTCGTGCTTACGCTACAGTTAAAATATTATGGTTCTAAGCTCAATGGACAACCTAGTGAGTCTTTTTTTATGCACACAGCATTATCACAATTAATCCATTTGGACATCGTGGGGATGGACCCTAATTTATAAACGTTTTTTTTTTGTATGTACGTGCGATCATATGTGCGCGGTGCAAGTTGACTCTGTAGGGTAGAGTTGGGCGTATCCGGAGAGCGCCTTATAATAGAGTCACGTTGAATTTTATGTAGGCGATGATATTCTTGTAGTATCCGAAAAATGGCAGAGCCGAGGTAGGTTGTCACGTGATAAATGAGGTTTGATCTTTGCAAACTCTCTTGTTAATTATGGACCACTTTATTTATTGTACTGCAAACCATCGAAAGAAATCTGAAGACTATGTTAGTACCTCTCGAACTGCTTTAAACAGGCAAAGCTCTACAATTGAAATACCCCTAAAATACCTCGCATGACGCTATCAATCAGTATGAATGCTGTGTTCAGCAAGCTTCTAGCACAGTTGTTTAAATGTTCACAACACCTATGAAGTGCAACTGTTTTGATCGTAGACAACATTATTGTTTAGAATGTCAAATCCAGACGGCGTTTGTGGTTACACGGAACGAGTCTCCACAACTCGATTCGTTTACATTTCAGTATCTGGACTGGTGGCAGTATTTGGTAAAGCTGATTAACGATTCTTTATCTTTTAAAAAGAGTATTTTTTCAGGTGTTTTCTCAAATATTTTACTTTTCGTTCTGTTTCACACAACCCCCTCGCGACCTCCGTCGCATTTCCCAGCGTTTCTCGCTCTGCTCGATGCATTACTTTGCTTTTGCTTCATAATTATTTTCGTAGTGGACGTTAACATGATGTATCTTGAACTGCCGGTAGGTTGAGCTTATACCTTCATTTCATACAATTTTAGAAAGTAGTGATGGTCCACCATACACATGGGTACAAGACCATTTTTCTACAAAAGAAGAGGGAAGGAAACTGATTGTGACTTTTTTGGTATTCATAGGAAGAAATAGTGTTAAGAAATAAGTTAGAAGCTAGGCCTTTGCAGTCTATTTCAACCGAGGTAGTTTATCTGTGGTTGCAGAATCCTGTGACTGTTTTGATAAGGCATTTACTCAACTTCCTCTGGAAAATTCCATATTTCAACATTACGCATTATTAACATTTAACAGCATTAGTTTGTCTCCAAAGATTGAGTATCCAAATCAAATCGCTTTACTGGTGCTAAACCGGAATAGCTTCTGCTCAGAAATTATTGAAATGCGAAAAGGAATAGTAAATTTGAACTGGTGATGAAGATCCGGTAAATCGCGTAATAAATAAGGGCAGATATCCCCCACTTAAAAAAA